TCCCCTCCTTGCTCTAGGCCTGTAGTCAGCAAACTTCGGCTCGCGAGCCACATGCGGCTCTTTGGCCCCTTGAGTGTGGCTCTCCCACAAAATGCCACGTGCGGGCGCGCACATACAGTGTGGTTGAAACTTCGTGGCCCATGGGCAGAAGTCGGTATTTTGTGGAAGAGCCACACTCAAGGGGCCAAAGAGCCGCATGTGGCTTGCAAGCCGCAGTTTGCTGACTATGGCTCTAGGCTGACTTCTCTTTCACCCCTGTCCTCCCGGAACACGCCCCCTGGGCGGCCCAGGGTACCCCACCCTGTGGATCCCTTTGGAGCCCGACTAAGGGGGAGTCTTCCTAACGTGGTGATGGATTAGCTGACTGAGTGCTCTTTGTGTCTTACTCTTCCAGACAATTTGTTTACATGCAAACTGTGTTTAGTGCCTGGTAACAAAGGGAGGCTGACCTCACTGTGGGAGGACTGCTGCTCGCCTAGCCCTGGGGCAGGGCAGGGAGGACAAGGTTCTGGAAGGCCTAGCCACTGAGGTCACAGGCTCCTCCTCCTCCCTCTCAAAGGCCTGGTCCTCAGGACCTTCACCCTGACTTACGACAGACTGGGGTGTCTGGCTTGCCCTGTCAAAGACTTCTTTGGGGGTCATGACATTTTAGGGCGCAATACAACCCTCCACGGCCTCCTAGTCCCGGGGTGTCAGCGGGGGCCCGAGCGTGCCCCTGGAAACTGTGAATGAGTGTGAGCGTGCTCTGGTGCATTCCCTTTTTTCCTGAAGACTCTGTAGCTCTCTTCAGATTTCTTACCGGCAGACAGGTGGCCCCCATTTTAACTGATGGACTTGAGGCCCCTTAGAAAGAACAGTGACTTCCTAGAGACGAGCCAGGTACAAGGGGAGAGGAGAAAGCAGGGGAAGGAGGGGAGGGGAGAGGGGAGGGGTCCAGGCTCGGTGGTGCCCCTGCCACTGTGCCCGCCTCAGGGAATCCCTGTCTCTGATGCAGGACATCTGTCTGATTGGCAGTTCTAGCCTACACCCAGCCTCACCTGCTCTGTGGCCCTGTGGGCAAGGCAGCTTTGTGGAAGCACCTCGGAGAGCTGGAGGGGGCCCCTGCTCCGTCATCCAGCCGCTCCACCACCCATCTAGCCCCTCCATCATCCAGCCACTCCATCATCTAGCCACTCCATCACCCAGCCACTCCATCATCTAGCCCCTCCATCATCCAGCCACTCCATCATCTAGCCCCTCCATCATCCAGCCACTCCATCATCTAGCCACTCCATCACCCAGCCACTCTATCATCTAGCCCCTCCGTCACCCAGCCACTCCATCACCCAGCACTGACTCAGCTACCTTGGGCTCTGAATTTACCAGAAACATGCTCAACTTTTGGGGCTGCCTGTGCCCAGGACATTGTGCCCCTTGGGACCCTGGAGCAAGGCAGTCTGGTCTCAGAGAACACGCATAACCCGCGAGGCTGCCCTTGCAAGCACCGCCGCACAGAGATAGGCCACTGGAGTGAGCCACCTTCCCATGCTGACCTGCGACTCCCCTGGTCCAAGGCAGACATGCCTGGCTTGTCTGCACATGGAGACCTCCGGACAAGCTGTGCTGTCAACACCCAGGGTTGGTTGTCAGGGAAATTAAATGCATACGCCTTCTCCCCGGCAGGGTGGTGCTGGCGCGGGACATTGGCACCAGCCCAGGGAGCAAGGAAGAAACAAAGCCTCAGACTGGAATTGCAGATTGATCCAGAAAACACCAGCCTCTTTTCTGGTCTGTGCTTATGTACGATGTTTGCAGATCTGACCTGTGATCGGCGGGAAAAAACTCAGCTCTCGGGCAGGTCCACAGCCTCTGTGTGATGGGACCTCGGTGTGATAGAGGGAGAGGCACTGGGGCAGAGTTCATGGCCACTCCCTCCCCCTCCAGAGGCCCCCAGGCAGCAGCCAGGTGACTTCCTTGCTCTATTGTTCTGTTTGTTTCTTTTTCTACCAAAAGAGGGTTGTAGGAGCATTGGGTGGGTGACCTGTGAGGCCCCTCCCAGTGTGAGTGTTCTCCTAGCCTTTTCATTGGTTGGTTGGTTGGTTGATTGATTAGTTCGTTCATTCACTCATTCATCCATCCACCCATTCTATATGCTAGCTGTTGCATTTGAAGTCTGTTTGTGGCTTATCTGGAGGCAGAGACCTAGAGCAGAGCACCCCCCCCCACCATGCTCCCCTCGAGCCCCAGGAGTCAGGAGGGGCTGTGTTGGGCCCCAGCTCACCAGCAGGAATAGGGGCACCTCTTGCTATAGCGACAGCAGTAGAACTGCCACTCCCGATCCAGCACCGACTCGAAGTAGCGGCTCTGGAAGCCGGCCACCAGCCCGTTGTTGGAGCAAGTCTGGTACCTGGAGAGAAAGAAAAACCAGTGAACTAGGGACAGTGACATGCCAGCAGCCCCTTCCAGGCCCGGCTCCCACCGAGGCCGAGTCAGCGCTCTCTCACTGACCTGGATTCCTAACAATTTATTCCATTTTTATGCAAATAATAAAGACTTTCCTGTATTTGCAGAAATGACATATGCTCACCATTAAAATTCAAACGATTCAGCTTCTTTCAACTGAAGGAAATTGGGGGAACGCTGCCCCTGATAGCCCTCAATGAATACATTGTTAGGTGGAAGAATGCATAAATGGGTAGATGGAGAGGCATCTAGAATTTACAAATGCAAGATTGTCTTATTATTCATGCCATTTAAAGTAAAAGAGAATATACTTCATTTTGCTTGACTGTAAAGTTAAAAGAAGACAAAGAGAAAGGCAGTGAATGGGTGACCTTCACATGAACTTTTCTTCTGCTCAAGAGCAGAGCCTGGAGCCCGAGCGCAGGGTGCCCCTTCCCTGGCCCCGAGCAGCAGGCAAAGCCCACGGAGAGCGCTGGGCAGGGGCGGCCTGTGAGGAGCTGGGAACACACCCCAGGGGTTCCTACTTACCCAGGAGTCTCCTTGCTACCGACTCAAGTCTGAGGCTTCAGAGGTCACCCCTGCTCTCTGGTCCACAGCCCTCCCTGTGGCCCATGAATTCTCACTGTGCTGCTCCGGCTGGGCCGCTGCGGGTCTAGGAATGGGCCCCCTGGATCATCACAGCTCCTCCCTGACTAAGCACTGGCTTCCAACAGTGTGCTCACTTCTTCCTTCTGTCTCCAAAACGACTCCCTCCTTCTCCTGCCCCAGTCCCTCTGGTACCGTGATGTTTGCTACTTTTCCATGAGAAGAGGGTGCTGCTCTCAGGAGCCTGGGGGACCCGCCCCACCTGGCGCATGAGGTCTCACAGCCCTTCCAGATGAACAGGCCTTTAGCCCTCTGGCTCTCAGCGCTCCTGCCCACCTGGCCACCGGCCGCGGCCCCTCTTGTGTGTGTCGCGGCCTGACTGACCGCTGCTGGAATGCAACCCTGTTTTCCAAGTAAAGTTAAGTTTCCAGAAAATGCCGCAGGTAAAGTAAGAGGTGCCTGTGCTGATGGGTGGGAGGTGTCTTGCGGACAAACAAATGTTTGTTTGGGGGTTTCTCGATCTCGTTTTCAGTTCCTGGAAATGGTCTCGTGGATCCGACATTGAATATGTTTCCTGTCTCTGGCCAGAAAGCATCTCCTTTTCATTTATGTATTGTTCATCTATTCATTCATACACCTGTACCTTCAAATATGCACCTAATCCTTCCTTCCTTCATTCTCCAGCACATTTGGTCTCGGCTACTCTCTCTATCAGTCGCTGTGCTTTCGTGCTGAGAGAAGAATTGAGGGATGGGCTTGGTCCTCAGTCACCTGTGCACATGAGCCTGAGACGTCAGGGGAGCTCAGCTATAGATCAATATCGCAAATCAGGGTGTGCATCGAGGCCCCTGCCCTTGGATGGTCTAGTCTCATTTGTGCTACCATCACTCCCATCCCATCAGGAATATCTCCACCTGCTCAGAAAGGGCTGCGAGGGTCTGGATAGTGGGCAGTGGTCTATTCTGACCCTGTTCCAGCAGCGAGTGAGAGGGGAGGCCAGTACAAAGCTCTCAGAGTATCTGACGTGAGAAAGTGCACAAACTGGTGCTGTCCGCAACCTCTCTCTCATGTTCCTGCAGTCCCACTGTCCCTGCAGTCCCACCATCCCTGCAGTCCCACTGTCCCTGCAGTCCCACCATCCCTGCAGTCCCACTGTCCCTGCAGTCCCACTGTCCCTGCAGTCCCACCATCCCTGCAGTCCCACTGTCCCTGCAGTCCTCGCCGTCCTCTAAAACAACCCTTCCATAGGAGCGGCCTCAGTTTCCCTGAGCTGGTGTCCCATTGTTTTGATTTGTCCTGTGCCCCCTGATCGCCTCAGGGAAGAGTGTTCCCAGGGCAGAAGTTCCCACAAGTGAAAATAACCTGGCGAGATAAGCTGGCCTCTTCCTGGGGCCCCCCAGGGTACCTCAGCAGGCAGCTGGCCCCACGGTCCTGTGTGGACAGTGAGTGTGTCACCCTCTTGCACAGCATCTCAGATAACACTGCCCGTGAAGACTGGACACAGGCCTGGGCCTGAGAACATGTGGGGAGTTAGATAAGCGAACAGAACTCCCTCCCTGCTCTGGCCCTTGCCTTCACATGTTGTACTGAGTTGCCCTGGAGTTTGGTAGTGGCCAACACAATGAAATTATTCCTTCTAGAATGGATCTTTGAGGGGGTCTGTTTCCACACCCCACTATGTGGGAGCAGCGTAGCAGAGCAGGTAAGAGCATGGACTATGCTGCTGGACTGGAGCGCCAACCACTCCCGGCTGGGTCACTTTGGCAGGCTTCGGGCCCTCTAATAGCCTCAGTTTCTCATCTGTAAAATGGGGATAATAATAGCACATCTATATCTATAAAAGGCTAAGTGACCGACCATCCATCAATGCAACCATCCGACTGACCGACCGGCCAGTACATATGACATGCACTGGCAACTTAAAAAAAAACATTGACTCTCGCATGCATGATACATATAAAGCTCTCGCTGGTGCCAATTGCACACGTGTGTTTTGACCTGTCATTGTCCATCGTGACTTTGGCTGACACTTCTATTATAGAGAAAGGGCAAATAGTGATATTAAAATATTTCTTCTAATTAACTTCCTTTCAATGTGCATGAATCCGTGCACCGGGCCACTAGTACTTAATAAGGTTATTTTGAAGACCAGACATACAATTCTGGAGACAGTGTCTTTTAAGGCTTAGTAAGTTCTCTATTATTGTGACTATACTTTCGTTTAGTCCACATGGACTATGCTCATGAGTATGCTCTGTGAATGCCACCTTTGGCTCTCAGTCTGCAGTGAGTGGAGAACTGTGGACTCAGGGCATTTCCTGAGAGGTGTTCCTTAAAACAAGCTCTCGGCGTTGGCTGTCTCAGGGGCTGACACACACCTGCTTTGTGACATAGATGCTCCAGTGTGACATGTGGCTCCCAGGAGACGGTGAAGTCCGTGAGGGGAAAAGATCTTCAGTCTGCATTCCCCACAGAGCCTGGCGCTGGGGTCCAGCAAATGTTTAATGGAAGAATGAAAGAACAAGCGACTGATCTGGGCCTGGTCCATTATCAGAGGCAGAACTGACTTTGAGGAGCTCATCACTTGTGGAGAGTGGCTCCCAGGTGGCTAAGTGATATGGGCTGTGGGAGGTGCAGCAAGTAAACAAAGCTTGATCAGGTGCATGTAACTGAGTAGATTCGAAACCCACGAGAACTTTGTAAACATCTTGACCATGCCCTTACTTTGCCTTGTGGAATCCGGCTATAAAATAAAGACTCGGCTTGCAGGCCATGGCACTGTCTCTCTAATTAGCGGGTAGTATCCCACCTAGCCCCAGCTTTATTCTCTTGTGTCTTCTTTAATCCTTCATCACCACCCCCCACCCCCAGGTTCACCCATGGCCGTGCTGGCGCGGCACAATCACTCAAATCCAGGAAGGGCCCTGAAACTCGCTCCAAGGAGTTTCCAGGGGCTCAGCCAGGGATCCATCTTCTCCCGCCACCTTCTCCCTCCGGACAAAGCCTGCCCTGGGACGAGGCTGCAGCATGAATACAGCTCCGGGCATTCTCTCCTCGGGTCCCCTCCCTTCCAATCGACCCCCACTTTTTAAAAGCATCTTATTTAACAAGACTCCCCTAAACATTCAGGCACCAGCTGCAGGATTGCACACACAGGCACCAGGCAGGCGAGAGCCGTGAGGGCCCCTTGAGTGGGAGGAGACTCAGGCAGCCGGAGGGGCTTGCACTGCTCACATGATTCAAAGCCAAGTTTTAAAAGGAGCCCCTGTGGGGAGCCAGCAGACATGTCCCAGCCCTACCTTAACGAGCGGAGCCGTGTGGGGTCTCACCTCAGGCACCATGAGGGCTCAGGGAAGTGATGGCCAAGATAAGAAGGGCCAGGAGTCAAGCTCAGATTTTTCTGGGGCCAGAGCTTCCGTCCACAAGCTCTCAGGGAGCACAGAAGGCTGCCCCGAGATTGTCCCACTTGTGGCCCACCCCCGGCCAGGCTGTCTCCCTGTGTTCTGTGTTCCTTGTTGAGTCTGGGCTGTTGGTCAGGCCGAGGGATGGAGGCCAGGACTGTGTGTGCACACACTGGTTTTGTTGGTGAGGTCCTCCGGGGAATGATAGTCTCCCCTCCAGTTTCTGCTGGTCGCCATCCAAACATATCGAAAGCCCAAACTCTTAGCAAGTTTGGGGTGGTGCTGGGGCGGGCGTAGGACGGGGTGGAGGAAATCAGAGCCGTCTTGGTCGAGAGCTTGGTCGAGAGCTTTCCTAACCCCACAGGTGGGCGGGCTGGGTGGGCTGCTCTCTTTTTCCAGCTCCACACACAGATGTGTCTGTGCCCAGAGCTCCTGGCCCATCCCCAACCCACAGAGCAGCTTTACCCATCGTCCAGCCCAGCGAGGGACCCCTGTGTGGGGGAGACCATGTTGCGTAGCCTCCGTTACCCCTAAGGTTTCTCCCCCACCCGGCTTGATGAGAGCTTGAATTGCACTCAGATTCATTCTTTTAAGGAATTCGTTGGCTGCTGTTAATTCTGTTTCCCCCAGATTAATACTCTGGGTTTCTTTCAGGCATGAAGAACTGGCCCACAGTCTCAGGATGGTTGACTCTTTTGACACATGTTCATCGGAACCTCCTCTCTGCCCGGTGCTGTGCTTGGTCTGGAAGCCTTTCCTGAGACCTGTATGTGAGCAACGCCATGACGACCCGGGAATTGGAGAGAAGTCTATTGGTATTAAAGACAGAGGCCAGAGTAAGAGGCCGGGGGGGGGGGGGGGGGGAGGAGGGGGCATGTCAGGGGAGTGACAACCCATAGAGACAAACCCAGCCTGGGGCAAGTCTGCCCAGTCTCGGGGCTTTGAAAGTCCTGGATTC